GATTGGTATCTTACTATTGTCGGGAAAACAACAAGTGCAGACTTGGAGACGAGGGAGAATAGAACCCGGAAGTTAAGCGTGCTCAGGCTAGAGTAGTGAGAGGATGGGTGACCGGCCGGAAAGTTAGATGATTTGGAATGATGATGGGTGACTAGAGAGTAGAGGTTAAATTGAGCAGTGATGAGTGGTGATTAGAGATTAAATTATAAAATAATTTAAATTTTTGAAAATTGAGAAAAAAATTCAATTTTTTTTTAAAAAAAACCTTTAGTCCCGGTTTGTGTTACCAACCGGGACTAAAGGTGGAGCTCCAGATAGCGGCCACGTGGAGGGCCTTTAGTCCTGGTTCGTATAAGAATCGGGACTAAAGGGGAGGGCCTTTAGTGACGACCCTTTAGTCCCGGTTCCAGAATCGGGACTAAAGGCCCTCTAAAACCGGGACAAATGAGCCTTTTTCTACTAGTGTTGAGGACGGTGAAATCGGAAAACCACTCACACCACCGAGCATTAGCCACATCATATCCTAGATCAGAGAGCTCGCGGGACTCCAGTGCATTCCAAAAATTGTCTAGGAGCCGTTGTGGACGATCAACCCCTCCTACCTTCTCGTCCCAAGACAGAATTTCGTTAAAATCTCCCAAACATAACTAAGGTCACTCACTCTCTTCTCATGCTCTTAGTGATGTGTGAATGAGCCCACCTTATATGTTGGTCTAACTCACCCTCCACAACCGAGATGGGATTAAACTTTTCACACTCTCTTGTCGAGTAAATGGGCCATATGGGCCTCTAAGATTTTCAAGAATTACTGGAAATAAGAAATGGCCTAAAAGCCCAATAATTCCAAAAAATAATACAATGATAATTGGTTTCCAAGAAATAAGTATTTTTTGTGCGATCCAAAAAGTAAGCAATTACCTTTATACCTTCATAGAAAATGTAATTACTTGTATGAATAAGTCGACATAATAAGTATTATAGTCTAGATATGACATCCATGGAAATGGGAACTGTATCATCGTTAGTCTGTGCCATACAGAAAAAAAAAGTCTATGCCATGCAAGCGATGAAAACCTGTCATTTTTGCAAGTGTTCGTAGGTTGATATAGTCTCCAGTTACTTGTGTTAGTCAAGCCCACCACATAATTAGTCATCCAAACCTAATTCTGTCACCACGTGAATTGATCCCTATGCAAATTGATCTTCATCCACGACAATTAGTTTCCAAAAAGTAAGTAGGTATGTACCATGTAGCAGAGTGCCTCAAATCATTCGGACACATCCTATGTGCCATTACTAAAATCAGATCAAGAGCCTAGCAAGCATAGCCCCAAATGTTAATTTGCTTCCTTTTTCTTTTGGAGGTGATACCACATGATCGACATCTTCTTACCCATGTGAAGCTGCACATGTTTGACGTGTAGTGTTTCTGTGGATAGCTGAGCAAAACTAGGGTTCTAATTCCACATTGTTTATATATGCAGAGGTTCCACAAGTTCAATTAAGCAAGTTGTTCATCTGCTTTGGAAGTTAAAATATGAGAGCCCACACGACAGCTTTCTTCGGGAAGGACCGGCAATGGAAGTTTCAGTTTGTCTAGTGTGTGTCTCGCAGTGATGAATCCATTTATGTCCTTGTCTCCGTCATTCCTTGGTGCCTCATGGTGTTGGGAAGTTCATTGGTAGGGCCATTGTTTAACGAAAAAATCAAACTCATTCCAACATATGGCACCCATTTTTTAGTTATATTTTATCGTAGCGTGGTTGAGCGAGGAGCGAACCTTTCTGTTATTGACTACCTCTCCTTGATACGTGATTACCCTCGCGGTTGGTGTTGTCTGGTTGCGCGGATTTTGAGTGGCTTCACACATCCGTTGTAGGAAGGGCATCATCGGTGGTCGTTTGTGATTAATGTTGAGCCTCTCTTTTAGTGGAGGAGTAATAATGACAATGATGTTATTGTGGCTTCACACATTTGTTGCGGGCGGCACGCCCTCCCCCCCTCCCCCGGAGGGGGAGGGTTACCGGTGGTCATGGATGCAAAGTCAAAGTAGCCTCACTTTTGTAGGAGCAATGATGATGACATTATTGTGCCTTCACACATTTGTTGCGCAGCACCGTGGGGAGGGGGTCACTGGTGGCCGTCGGTGTGACATTAGAGCAATGTTGCCTGTTGTGGCTTCACACATTTGTTACGCACATCGCGCAGGAGGGGGGGGGGTCATTTGTGCCAAAGCCAGAGCAACCTCGCTTGTGGAGGAGTAACACCGATGGCGTTGTTCTGGCTTTGCACACTTGTTGCACACGGAGGAGGGTTTGGTTGTGTGCGAAAAAGTCAAAGCAGTTTCACTTGTGAATGAGTAATAAGAATGACGTTGTTGTGACTTTACACATTTGTTGCGTGCGGCGAGGGGTTGGTCGTATGCGGCAAAGTCAGAACAGTCATGCTTGTGGAGGAGTAATGACGATTGCGTTGTTGTGGCATTACACATTTGTTGTGCGCGGCGGGCAGTTGGTTGTTTGTGGTAAAGTCAGAGCAATCTCGTTTGTGGAGGAGTAATGATGATGACGTTGTTGTGTG